TGTGTGTGTGTGTGTGTGTGTGTGTGTGTGTGTGTGTGTGTGTGTGTGTGTTCGTAGTGTACCCAGAGACAAGAGGAGGGCATTGGGTGCCCTGGAACTGGAGTTACATGCAGTTGTGTACACCCATTGTGGGCACTGGGAACTGAACCGAAGTCCTATAAAAGAGCAACTAGTGCTCTTACACATGGAGTCATCTCTCAAGCCCATTATTTACTTTTTTTTCACTTAGAACATTTTAATAATGCACATTAAAAAAAGTATTTGTCTTACAAATTGTTCTGCAATCCAAATATACAACAGCTTGGAAAACAACATTTAGAAAACAAAAGCCAATGTAAAAAGACAGATTAAAACAACTGCAACAGTACAGGGTTGGTATGGCTCAGACTTTACAGCTTTCTTACTTCGTCATCTATGTCAGAGATCTGTTCCTTCAGCTGGCTCCACTGTTCCATGTTTAAAGAAACACCTTTTCTCCCTGGTTTCATTTCACCTTCTGAGTCCATCCAATATTCTCTAATATCAATTAGAATTTTTCCTTTAAAGTCCCGAACACTGACATATCTCATCTTTCCAATCTGAAACATGTTATTATCTCTGCTGCTGCTGCTCTGCTTGGAGGATGCCAGAGCTCTAGAAGTCTCACCAGGCTTCTGCTTCTTCACAGGTTTCTCTGGAACAACTTGCTTTTTCCTCTTTAACTTTTTTTCAACTTCGCTGTCAGAATCACTGCCTGAAGAGCTTGAAGAAACAAGTTCCTTTGATTTAGGCATTGCTCTGCTCCTGCCGTCCAACAGCCTCTACCTCGATCGATTGCTCCGGACTGCCCATTATTTACTTTTTAAAGTAAGGTAAAAATGGCGCTTGGGAGGAAGGAAATGTTCTAATGGCGAATGCTAAGATAACAGTCTGCATATTAGCAATGCCTAGTTTACAGTAAGGAAGGCCCAAGGGCTGTAGTTACTATTCCTCTAGCCACTGTTTCCTTTTGTTGTTTCTTGAGACAGGATAACCCTTTGCAGTCCTGGAACTCATTATATACACGAGGCTGGCCCCAAACACAAAGAAATCCTCCTACCTCTGTCTCCCAAGTACTGGGATCAAAGGCCGTGTGGTACCACATCCACCAAACATTCACTGTTTCTATAGAGCCTCTTTTTCCACATCTTTATCCAAGATGGAAGGCAAACTGCTTCAAAATTTTCTTTGCCAGGTTCATGATTTTCTTTCCTTTACTGTTATATATTCATTGTACATGGCACTGGGCTTCATTTAGAAGGATATTTTCATGCAGTAAAGTAGTTTGAACATGTTCACCTCAACTCCTTCCGGGCTCTATTTTCTCACCCCTTCTATCGGTACCCCACTTTTGCTAGACAATTTTACTTCTCTTTTCATGATTTGGATACATACACAATTTTATGTATATAAAATCTAGAGCTCATGAATGAGGAAAAGCATGGTGTTTTCTTTCTTAGTTCAAATGACTTATTTCACTTAATAGAATCATCTCCAGTTACATCCTTTTCCCTGCAAGCAACATTTGTATACTCTCTATAGCTGAATAAAATTCCTACACCATAACCTATACATGTAATGAGATTTGATCTAGCCAACTATTGTTTCTAACCTTTAAGGGAGAAGAAAAAGAGGACATCAGACATTCCTGAGCTTCTCTGTTAAGCACAGGCATCACCCTATATAGGCTTTGATCCAGCCCAGAGGCAGGTCTTGAGCTAGAAAACTGTCTAATCCTAAAACAACCTACAGTTTTAAAGGGATAAAGAGTCCATGACAAAAAGCAGCATGGCCCCAAGTAAGCTTGCTGTGTTGGTCACTTGGGAAAAGTGGAGGGGGACTCAATTAAGAAAATTCCTCTATCAGATTGGCCTGCAAGTCTCTAGGGCATTTTCTTGGTTAATGATTGATATGGGAGGGCCCAGACCACTGTAAGTGCTCCACCCCTGGGCTAGCCTGATCTACAGAGCTAGTTCTTGAATAACCAGGGCTACACAAACCAACTCTGCCTCAAACAAAAGAAAAGAAAAGAAAGAAAAACAAAAAAATGAAAGAAACAAAGAAGCAAAGGGAGCAGCAAGGCATGAGGCACAAACCAGGAAACAGAGTTCCTCCATGACCTCTACTTTAGTCCCTGCCTCCAGGTTCCTGCCTTGAGTTCCTGCCCTGACTTCACTTCATGATGGATTATAAACTCTAAACTAAAATAAACCATTTTCACCCCAAGTTGCTGTTGGTCATGGTGTTTTATCACAGCAGTAGAAAGCAAACCAGGAAATGTGCCCTCAAGAACAGAATACATTTGTGGTTCTCAATCCTGCCTGGGAAGCAGAATCCCCTAGTCATCTCTGGTCCCACTGTAGAGTCTGAATTCAAAACAAATGCCTGAATATATGCAGACAAGATTGAAATGAGGCTCAGAGGAAGGGAGTCTCAAACATTAGCACGACCCCAGCTCACCTGGGAGGTTTGCTAAGCTCTGGGTTGTTGGGCCCCACCCCTGGACTTTTACTGTCACTCGTTCTTCAGAGGGTCCAAGATTTGCATTTTCATCCTGTTTCCTGGTCACATTGATGCCTCTCAGGGGCAGGGGGAAGATTTTCAACATCTGTTAATACCTGTGTGAGTCTGGCCTTGATTCCTAGCAATCCCCACAGCCTTCTCAGTTTGCTCCTGCAACAAAAGAAAACAGGAGTGGCACCCATGGTAAGTTACCACACCATTCTCAGTCCTGTACTCATCACAGACAAAAATACTCACAAACCACACACACACACACACACACACACACACACACACACACCACCGCACACCTCTCAGACCATAGGCTTGGAAATACAGTTTTTCCTCCTTCAAGACTGGACCCTTCATAACACTGGGTCTGAAGGGCAGCACTGGTCCACCAAGGAAAAACAGCCTTTGACCTGTGTCTTTCATTGAGGCTTATCTAATACACACTGCACAGACCCATCAGCAATCACATCGAAACAGGCAAGAGATATGCTGAGTTCAAAAGAAGCCTGCTGGTGTTCCATTTACAAGGGTTATCATGCCTTGGGAACATTCCTGAGCTTCTTTTCTGAGTAGATCCATGACCCCATTGATTTTTCCAGCATCCATCAGAAGCATTCCTGAAATGTGCAGGGCCTAAGGGACTATGTGGAGCTAAAGCTGTGGGGAGGAGTCTTGAGGAATGTTGTTTAAGAAGCAGAGCTTGACTCTTTTCCAAACTTCCAACTCACACTCACAGTGTTACATGCCTTGAAGGATTGTGCCCCCACTCCGTCTGTGAAATGCTCTATGAGTCCCCAGTGAAAGCTTTCTATGACTTTGAAAGTACAAAAAAATACCTTACTACTTTTATAATAATCCTAACCTTTCTCTGTAGAGTTAAGAGGATGCTTCCGTTGCTGTCCTTGGAGTGCTCTCTCTGTCTTTGTTCGTCTCTTCTCCCTTTCTTCCTGTGAAGTCCAAGATGAGAGCAAACTCTTGGACTCAAGGCTCCTCTTGCCTCACATTCCAAGGCTGAGATCTCAGGGCTACACCAGTCTACCCAGCTGGAAGTCTCTTGGCAGTGCTATTACCTGACCATCAGTGTGAGGATGGAGGAGAGCCTCCACTTTTACAGGAGGTGAACCAGAGTCCATGCTCTGTGGAATTTGCTGACCAGGGGAAAAAAGACTCATAGTTGCTTTGAACCTCACAGCTTACAGTCCTACCACATAATTCTCCATCAGATTTTACAGAAAATGGAAGCCCATGGACTTAGCATGACTTGGCAGTCAGCTAGTAAGTGATATGCACAAGATTGCCATTCAATTCAGGCCTCCTGACCTGAGTCCTGAACTCTTATCACATCAGCAAAGAGGGTGAAAACATAGTTATATATGTATGTGCTCTCCAAAGGCCACTTATGCCTCAAATTCTGCCCCATTCACATAACTGCTTGGGCTGGGAACCTTTGTTTGAAGTGTAGTAAAATCCTATCAACGAGCACTAGAAAAATGGTGGCTGTAGCTCTGTTGGTAGAGTGCTTGCTTGCCTAGCATGTGTGAAATTCTGGCTTCCATTCTCAGAACCAAATAAACCAGGCTTGGTGGCTCACACTTTTATTACCAGAACCTGGGAGGTAGAGACAGAAGCATCAGAAGTTGAAGGTCACTCTGGACTACACATTGAGTTTGAATACAGCCTGGCATCCTATGGGTGGGTGGTCAGGGGTGGGGGAGAAGGAGAGGGAGACAGAGACGGAGACGGAGACGGAGACGGAGACAGAGAGACAGAGACAGAGACAGAGACAGAGACGTGGAGAAAGAGAACAAATTTGTAACCCTTCCTAGCACTCCGGAAGCTAAGGCAGGAAGCAAATTCTTGGCCAGTCTGCACTATTGTGGCTAGAGTCTGACTCAAAAATCAAAGAAGGCATTGTGGCCCATGCCCTTAGTCTCAGCACGGAAGGAAGAGGCAGGTGTATTTCTGTGAATTTGAGACTGGCCTGGTTTACAGAGTCACTCCCACACCAGCCAGGGCTATATAGTGAGACTGTCTTTAACAAATGATTAACAATAACAAAGGAAAAGGCAAAGGAAAATTTACAATTTAAAAAAGCTTATTAAAATAAAAAAATAAATTTGCGTATGCTACATTGAAAAGTTTATTATACAAAACATAGAAGTATATTTTAAAGCACAGTAGTTCAAAGTGATCTTCAAAATTGAGCTGGTTTGAGGCCCACCTGGACTACATAGACCCTGTCTCAATAATAATAATAATAACAACAACAACAATAATAACAATAATAATAACTTTAAAAAGTGTAAGCACCACGGAACAGTAATATGAAAATAAATGTCACTTCCCTTCTGTGCAATACTACTACTGTCTATGGTAGGAGTCATGAAGTGAGTAACATCAAATTAAAAAATTAAAAATTCTTGAGCAGAAGTGGTGATGCTTGCTTGTAATCCCAGTACCCTTGAAGCTGAAGATCAGTGATTCAAGATCACCCTTGGCTTATAGAGAGCTCCAGGCAAGCCTGGGTTACATGAGACCCGTCTCAAACAAAAACTGGACATATTTCTGTTGTTTTCTATATACTGCTGAAATGGAATCAAGCCAAGAAAGCTCAACTTACCGGTATCTCAGAAGCTCCTGGCATATGACACAGCTGTTCATCTTCGCTAAACAGTGACATTCTGGTTTTGGACTCCTAAAAACCCCGTGATGATTGTTCTAAACTCTTAGGACTTGAGACATTTCCTTCCTCTTCAAACCTCCTCTTTTTTTTTTTTTAACAGGCGTGGTGAATTAGGCGGGCAAGGAGGTGTACGTCAGACGTACCAAAGTCTTATTTGATGTGTATTGCAAAAACAGTCTTGAAGGGAGCACTCACCTTGTGCTCACCACACATTCCCCCGAGTTTCTTGCTGCGTAGGCTTATTTGGGGATGCTAAGCCGGATCATGTCTTGGTGTTGCGGACCATCCTGTCCTGTACCTGGAACCATACCTCAACGTCCCAGTTGTGGTTAAAGTGTGGGATCAGGATGCCTGACTCTGCTACCTGACCCTTGACTCTTCATCCACCCCACATTTTGTTGCCTAATTGATGGGGTTCCTCAAGTTATTCTATATTTACTTTATTTGGAGGAACACAATTTAATTATATGCCAAAAAAAGGTTACCAAAAGAAGCCTATGAGACTGTCATAATTTGCTTTCTGTTGCTGTGATAAAACACTAACCAGAAGGGACTAGGGGTGAGGCAAGAATATTCATCTTACAGGTTATAGTCCATCATCAAGACCCACCAAGGCAAGAAACTCAAAGGAAATCTGGAGGCAGGACCTGAAGCAGAGACTATGAAGGAACACTGTTTGCGGGGCTGCTCAGCCAGCTTTCTTAGGTCCCCCACTTCACACACAAATAAATAAATGTAATTTTT